CCTACTTTTATCTATAAAAATGGCCACTCATATTTCAGAACTGACTGAGTTTTATTATGACGGCAATTAGCCTGCATGACTTGTTGGATTTGGCTTTGAATCGATTCGATTTTCCCCTAAACGACGGTATGAATACTGTAATGGGACTGAGTTTTCACCTCAGCTTCACTGCCAGGTCAGCTGACGATGAAGGCAAGTCTCAACTCAGCTCAGCAGACTGAACTTTGCGTAGGGTCTTTTTTTCATATTCTGACGAGATAAATCTCAGAAGAGTCTCCTCACTTACGCAGCAGCCGTAGCTGCCAAGCACAACAAGCTGTCAACATGAATGTTACCATCCTGCCCAACAGCGTGCGGGTGTAGAAGTGCTGACTGCACAAAATCGTGACTTCAAGGCCTTTTCTAAAAGCTCCTTTTGAGATACATACACATATAGAAGGCGTGGACATGCATAGTGGCCATGCAAAGAGACTCCCGGTAAGAAAAGAGACATTTGTTTGGACGTTATTGTTGTGGATGTTACTACTGGGCTGTGGTGTGGTCAGTGCCAGTGTTAGTGCCCACCGTAAAGAGAAAGTGTATGGCTAGAAGTGACCTGCTTGCTATCCTGGCTCCTTTAGTGGCATTGGGCAGTGCTTCTCCCTTGCTGCCTGTTCAATAAAAGAGCATTTGCCCACATGTGCAATGTTTCCCTCTGGTTCTTCATCGCCTAGTTCAGAGGTCAGCAATCCGAATGGTAAGAACAGCTATTTTGTCAATTTTACCATCTTGGCTGTAAATGTGTCTCAGCATGTGCTGATGCGCTAGTATAGGCTAAAAATATAATATATAAACAAAAACTCAGACTTACTCTGCTCTGCTTTAATCTTTAGTTCTGCTATAGCAGCTTTTCTCGCATCTCTGGCAGGAAACTTCTCCACAAAAGTAGAACAGTTTCTTGTAAAATGTCTCTCAACGTTCGACTTTTTATGAGGCTGAAGTCGCTTCTCATTCACCAGCTGTTCCAATTTTTCCGTTCCACCTTATATGAATGTAACTGCTGCACCATTTAAGGCGGAATGGGAAAATCCGAATGAGAAGCTGATTCGGCTTCACGACTGTTTAGTGTTTGACAGTTTCTCACTGCAAATTAAACGTATCAGTAAACTTATAAATGTGCTTATAAATGCAAATAAGTCCATTAATAATATGTTGTTTTTAAAGATTTGTTTGTAGCATGGCTGGAATGTTTTCCCCTCTTTTAACTCTATATTCACACTTGTAACAGAAGACAGATTGTTTACCTCATGTAGTAGCCCTCATTTTAGCCTATTCAGAAGCACCTATGTTAAGTGGTGGTTGCCAAGTGCATGAAATAGTCTTGACACTTACCATGTTTTTAGCTAAAACACCAGTTAATTCAGCAGTTGTTCTGAATCTGGGAATTGATCTGAAAAACTGCATAAATGTTTACATTTAAATGATTTGGACTTTTCATGCATTTCTCATAACTTTTTTTTGGCCAATTTCAGACATTTAAACGGGATCTTTGAGTTGAGGCCACTTATTACAGTGTAGTTCAAACATTTCAGCTTTACTTGATAAACATTTGATCAACACAACCTCATTCCTATTGGCTCTTGCTACCATATATTTGCATACTGGGCATGTCCCACCTTGTTTACCCTACCGCATGTATGTTGTCATGCTCCACAGCCTACCTTCCCTTGGGCGTTTACTTTTTTTCTACATTTTTGTGACTCATCTAATCTCAGTCAGTACTGATTGTAGATCAGTGTCGAGCGCACTGAGTCACCGACTGCTGAGTGTTGTTCTGTGGTGGCTAAACACTGCACTGCTCCTGCACTCTGGGCTAAACTGTCAACATCTGGCAAGATGGTCCAGAACAGTGTTAGGTTAAACTGGTTAAGACATTGATATCAATGACTATCAAGCAATACGGTATGAATTCATTACAAGTGAATTTAGATTTACTGTGTACTCATACTGTACCACAGATACTCGATAGTAATAAACATTGATATCAATGACTGCATTTACAGGCACAATCTGATCATGACCGGATTTCCGCAGTTATCCGATTATTCAAATGGTCGTGTAAACAGCACACTGTGATTTCTTAGATCGGAGTAAGGTCTATAAATTCGATTAAGAAATCTGATAAAGAGAGCTGGATTTTAGCTCAGTAATCAGATTTCTCAGTGCATGTAAACCCTTACTCTGATTTCTTTCCGATTTCTCAGTCTGCGTATGTGCGGAAAAGACCGCAGTACTGGAAATACGCGAGCAGCATCGCCGCGAGACGCAGCAGAACACTTTTGGACGCTGAAACCGACTACACTCTTGATGAAATGAAGGATTTAAATATTCTTCATCTTCTAGATGATGTACATTCATATCTGGGTCATTCTACAGAAACGTCCATTTTTGTGTCCCTAGCGTTTACAGATATATTACACTCAAAAAACTTGTTAGGGTTTCAATGTACTTAGATTTTAAAATAAAACAATAAGTTATTTTAACAATTTACACCTTCTGGAGCCTCAATGTAGCAATACTGGTTTTAAAACAATTACCTAGAATTCCAAGCACCACAGAAGAGCTCGTCCTCACAATCATGTGTAAAGGGTGAGGCCATTTTTGAGGTAAAAAAACAAGTTTTTCTGCAATTTTAACTGCAATAGTCTATACATGACTGTGAAATATATGATTTACATGACATAAAGAAAACAAATTCCAAATAAATATTATAAAACATATAATGAAAGTTGTGCTTCCCCTGAGTAACAAAAAATCTCTTATTTTGAAATAATAGTCACACTGATGACATCACTTTGACTTCCTTTTACCTATTTTCCAGTACCTGAAAAAATTTCCTTATATAGTCCACTGTGTCTTTCAGTTATCGGAGATTTTCTCATTTAGCTCATGATTTCACATGAAGCTTTTAGCTGACGTCACTGGTGTGACCGACTTTATTCTGAGGTAATTGTGAAAAAATAGAATACAAATGGATTAAATGACATATTTTAGTGGATATTCCATGATTGACAACATGTGGTTTGATGTGCTGTAGCAGTTATTTTGTAAAAATGCATTGTTTTATTAAAATGTCTCTGGTGTTACCTTTCTTATGGGTAACACCAATGAGGATTGGTAACACCAGTGACTCCTATGGAGAGGCAGAAAATTGGATGTTTCTGTAGAATGAGCCATTTTCAGGTAAAGTGGCTTGATGCTAATAAAAAAAAAAAGCAGCGCCATGAAGTTTGAGTTTTACATTACATTTACATCACGTCTTCTGTGAGTTTATTGGCCAGTTGCAAAGCAGAAATCCAATTACTGCCTGACTCACGTAGACCCGACTTTCCCCATTATCTGATTACCCAAGTGCATGCAACTGCGTAGATCGGATTACCGACAAAATCTGATTTTCTGCAGTTATTGGATTATAAAGTGCATGTAAACACACTCAGTGTCTTAACCATTATTTCTTAATTTCTTATGTCCATTTGAGATCAACAAAATGAAGGGAGTTAGTATGATTTAATCAATTTCAGTAAGTGTGTACAACAATAAACAACATCCATATGTTTTGATCGCACTCAGTTCAGGGAATCATTTAGGAGCAAATTATTTGAGTTACTTAAATGGTTTAAAGCAATCGATTTCCTCATTTGAGTTGACTTAACTCTTTTACAGTGTGTAGTGCTGAGAATGATCCACCACCCAAATAATACCTGCTCTGTGGTGGTTCTGTGGGGGTCCTGACCATTGAAGAACAGGGTGAAAGTGGGCTAACAAAGTATGTAGAACTACAAAGTGCACCTATGTGGTCAGTGGAGCTGATCAAATGGACAGTGAGGCCCAATCCCATTCCACCGCTCGCCCCTCAGCCCTCTGTTTTGCGCGCTCACGTCTAGGGGTAGGGTGTCCCGATTTGTATTGAGATAGAGGGGTAGGGCGAAGTGTTAGGGCTACATGGCCCTCCAAACAGAGGTTTTTCAGAGACACTCCAAGCAGAGTGAGATGAGAACAGCAAGATGACTGAACAAGAGACCAAAGAAACCCACAAACGTGAGAATTTTCTCCGTTAAAAATTACAATAACCACTGTATTATCTTAGTTTAACGTCGTTTCAATGTATCATGGTCGTTTTCTTCATAACAAGCATTAAAAAATCGCTAGTAGCATGCTAATGTCTCAGTAGCTAGCTAGCTAACTTTCCCGTTCCACCTTAAATAGTCCAGCAGTTCTGACGCCTGAAGCTCCAGAATGTATCTGCTGCACCATTTAAGGTGGAACGGGAAAATTTGAAACTTAGAAACTTCATATAAATAATTATAAATAATTGCCCCCCTCTTTGAAGGCATTTGATGCCCTAAATGTAACTAAAGCCCAGCAGTGAGGTTGCTGTAGTTTTCCCTTCTCTGCTATCCCTGAAGACGGGCTGGGTCACCCACAGAGCAGCGCTAGTAGCTGTTAATGAAGCGATGTTTTGGGTTGTCCCACTTCGTAGGGCAAGATTTCATCCACTACACCTTGTAACTCTGTTCCAAGGGGTTAGGGTGACACTCAAAAACAAGGGGTAGGGCTAAAAAGAAGAAATGGGATTGGGAAATGGGAAACAAGGTGTGCGTAGCTACACTGACCGTGTTCCCTCAGCCCACACAGCTGATATCAGCATTATATCATCATATTCTGTGATATTATATCATTATATTCTATGCTGGTGAAGTAAAGCCAGTCAGCAGTGCAGGAATGTGAGTGTATGGGTCAGTAAGTGCTGTTTCGGACACTTAACACACACTCGCTCTGTGTTAACGCACTGCTGCTGACAGGTCACGTGACCCGCTCTCGGGGGGGACCCACCCCAACGGCGCAGGTGCAGCTTTAAAAAAGAAAATAAAAACTTTTTAAACAGCCCAAGCAGACCCCCGAATAAAGAGCTCTGGACAGAAGGAGAGAGAAAAGGAGTCTGAGTTTGTAGAGGAGGTCACCTGTTCCACAATCTTCCTGTATCTCTGAGTCGCCTGGACGATCAGGTCGCGCACCATCCAGCCCTCTTTGCAGGGCACGACCACCCCAGTGCTGCCGAAGTTCACCGTCACCTTCATCCTCAGCGGCGCCGAGAGAGCTCAGAGGAGCCGGTGTGTGTTTACAGGAGCTCGGCCTGAGCCGTCAGCCTCGAGGCGGCGACCAAAACAACCACCGCCGCCGCCGCCGCGGCTACAGGTGTCATCGGTGAGGCGCTCAGGTGAATCTCCGCGCTTCCTCCGGGAACAGGGGCTCCGGTCCCGCTCCGACAGAGACGCGACCCCCTTTCTCCTCTCGGAAGAGTCTGAGCTGCCTCCCCGGGGGTCTGCGTTTGAGAGTTTGAGGGTCGTTTATGTGAGTAAACAGTGGAAACTGTCCGCCTCGGTTCAGGTCAGCTCGGCTGAACTCCCTCTGCCGACTGCCGAGAAACCGGAAGAGCGGAGCTGATAGCATGAAGCTAACATTACCTCAGCTGCAGCTTCAGCGTCCACTCTTTCACTCTTTCCCGGCGCTTTTCAGTCGTGAAAACCGTCTCAAAGTGGTCATTACACACACATTTCTCTCAGAAATGAGGGACAAAAAGCGAAAAGTTCTCAAGAAGCTGCGAAAAAAGCCCCTAACCAGCGTTTGTGCACCACTTTAAAGGGGAACTCCACCCATTTTCCCAAACTTCTGCCCTAATCCATAAATCTAGGCCGTTGTTGTGGTGAAATGGTTCACTGTAGGGAAATTCGCTGATTTTTTGTATTTATTTTTATTTATTATTTATTTATTTTTTGTAAATTCAGTTTTTATTGGCTTTCACACAATGACACGCTGGTACAAAAATAATAGAAACCATTCAAAGGTTCTGCTGGTTTCTGGTGGTGTCCGGTAGCCACCAGTGGTGTTCTGATGGGTTGATACCACAGTGTAATGGTTTAGCAGGAGCTCTGGGATATATTCCATTTGTCCTACAGGAAACGACCCTGATAGCAAGAGTATAGTGGAAAAGCTGGCGGTCCACTGGAGTTTTGGTCAGGATTTCTGGGCAGCCGATTGTTGGTTAAAAAGAGTATTAGACAAAATTCCACATATCATGGCTCATTTTCCACTCACAGTCCAATTTACTGATTTCTCCTTCCTTTCTTTAGTTATACTTTGTAAATCAGTTTATTAAATCATTTCAATCCAGCTCAGTATCAGCAACATTTTCTACAAAGCCATTTTATATCAGGCCTAGTCAGTCTAAGTTTATTTTCTAAAATAAAAGTCTCTGCATTTAAAATCTGTTTGAGGAGATTAAAAACTAGTTGAAGCTTGTATGCAGGAGAGTGATCTGGGTGGTCCGAGGGTGGACCAACAATGGCAAACAGTCAGCGGGGTGCCGACCTTATCAAGCCAGCGGACCGATATATGCTCGCTATTAGGGTAGTCGTCTCTGATTACCATTAAGCCAGTTCCCATTAGGAAGCCAAACCAGATTTTAATCCTAATGGTTCTAATGGTCTTTTTTAGCAGGCACATTAGACACACTTATTTTTTATATATGATATTGAATTCAAACAGAAATGGGGTCTTTCTCCAAAATCCCTGATGGCAAGCATATATTGGTCCACTGGCTTGATAAGGTCGCCACCCCGCTGACTGTTTGCCACTGCTGGTCCACCCTCAGACCACCCAGATCACTGTCCTGCATACAAGCTCCAACTTGTTTTTAATCTCCTCAAACAGGTTTTAAATGCCGAAAATAAACTAAGACAAATATTACAAACAACTGAGAGAGAAAAATGATGACTAGGCCTGATAAAAAATGTTTTTTATAGAAAATGTTGTTGCTGATACTGAGCTGGATTAAATGATTTAATAAACTGATTTACAAAGTATAACTAAAGAAAGGAAGGAAGGAAAAATCAGTAAATTGGACTGTGAGTGGAAAATGAGTGATGATGAGTGGAATTTTGTCTAATACTCTGCTTAACCACCAGTGGGCCGCTCGGAAAACGCTGAGCAAGATGCCAGTGGACAGCCAGCTCTGCCATCAGCGGGCCTACAGTGGTCCACTCTTGCTATCAGGGCTCAAGCTTCTTACAGAAGTTTTCCCACACTTCTCACTGTTTATGGTTCCTTGTTAATTTCGCCAGCATTTTTTCCATAGGAGGCACATTCAGATGTCTATCCACATTCCACATGTAGGGATTTGCGTCTCCTTCCAACATCTAGGAATCCGTCGTTTTGCTGTGTTATAGGAGAAAAGAGGATTTCAGTTTTGTCTCCTAGAAGACAGTCTTGGTGAAACTGGAATAACATAGCCAAGCCAATTTCCAAGCAACTTTCCAAGCACTTTTTTCCAAAAAGAAACAAATGAAGGAAAAATAAGACACTGGTGGTTCTGAATAGTAAGTAAAATGGCTATATTTGTGTTGTAAATGTCGGGACCCCTGGTTCCTATCACCACCACTGAAAAGAAATCAGAGTCTATACAATGAACCATTTCACACCAAACCACTGAAGACTGTCCTACATGAAGATGTGGTTAGAGGAGAACCCCTGTAGTAGCCGCTGGATGGCTGTGAATCATGACTGGTTGGCACGTATTTCATTTTAACATCTACCATTTTTAACTCCTTAACAATCCAGGTTTATTTCAAGGCTTATTATTCAGTAACTACAGGAACTTCAGTGCAAACTAATGGAGCTACTCTTAGCTTGTAGAAGCATGTAATAAAACTTTGGGCCTGTGGCTTGTTAAGGGGTCCAGCAGGTACCCCTTTTTAATACATTGCCAAAGCAGATTTAGTAAAGTGACAGATTTGAAACTTACTCAGTAGAGATACATACATACATACATACATCATCTAAACCGCTTATCCTTCTGGGTCACGGTGGGGTGCTGGAGCCTATCCCAGGTGTCATTGGGCGGAAGGCAGGATACACCCTGGACAGGTCGCCAGTCCATCACAGGGCAGACAGACAGACAGACATACAGACATACACTCACACTTAGGGGCAAGTCCAATCAGTCTGATTGCATGTTTTTGGACTGCACGCAGACACGAGGAGAACAGGCAAACTCCACACAGAAACAACCCTGGTCGCCTGGCCGGAAATCGAACCCAGGCCATTCTTGCTGTGAGGCGACAGCGCTACCCACTGCGCCACCGTGCCGCCCAGTAGAGATACGACTTCTGAGATTTTTCTGCAGTCCCTTAGTGCCCTTCTGTGGCCACATGCCCCCAGTTTGAGCACCGCCTATCTATACCATTCTCAGTAAACTTACTCTTACTTTAGTGAAGAAGTAGCTCAAGCGGAAGTGAAAGCAAAAACCAGCTTGAGGTTTTGTTTGTTTTTTTTAAAGAAGCAGGTGAAAAACCTGCAGTGGAACTTGGAAACATCTCTCAGCATAGCGACTGAATTAAGAATAAAAGGCTAAAGCTCAAAAGTGAAAGTTGTGAGCGACAGTCAGGAAATCCAGGAGTGGAACCAATTGAACAGAATGAAATAAAGGCAAAAGTGGGGAATTAGGAACTGACAGAAGTGAAGAAAAAGTAGATTGTTTACACAAGTAGCACTGAAAGTGTTATCATTAAGTGTTATCAAGTCCATCGTAAAATGTATTTAATCACACGGCGATGATTAAGCAAACTCGTAAAGTAGTTACTACCTAGCTTTGGTTCCACATCACCGTAACCTATAAAATATCTGGAAAAGGCATCAACTTGATACAAGCGCATGAACGAGCCTGAGGCTCTTGTGAGCTTAAGGCCGTCTGTGTGAGTGATGACTTTCATTATCTTGTTTTTGTGCTCAGTTCAAGTTACAAATTGATTAAAAACCCATTACCCTGTTCTGGAATGCCGAAAATGTTGGTTATAACCATTAACACCAGGCGTCTATTTCCTTATAAAGCATTTACACAGCACATCCCATTGAAGATATATGAGAAAATAGAGCCTTTGTAAGATATTGCCACTGCCAGTACACATGGAGACACATCTACATGCCATGCAGGACAGAAGTAGTATTAACTGAGTGCCTTTGTAACACCTTAGGAATGTTTCATGTATGTGTGAAACAAATCGGCCACATCATAGTCCTCATTAACATCCCACTGACCTGAAAATGTGTTCTGGCCTCGTTTTCTTGTCATGCATAATAGAGACACAATAAGCAGCTTCCTTGTTTGTTAATAATACAGTAACATTGTCTCGCTGTGGGCAGCAAGCAGCCCTGTTAATCATTCTCTCGGAGTTGGGAAGGTGAACAATCATTGTTGCGATGTTGGTTTTTATTTGTTGACCCAAATCACCACCAACTTAAATAGTTGGCTCAATTAGTTTGAAAGTGATTGCGGTCGGATGACATGACAGATGAGTGGGAACAGAGGCCCAGGTGCTGATAGAATCTAGTGGGGGGTGGGGTGGTATTGTTTGAACTGGAGAAATTCCCAAATTCCCAAATGCAGCCTGACAAAATCCTGTCCGAATCTGGCCCGACCCACAGAGCCGAATGTTTGAATAAAGCAGGCATGAGAAAAGGGAAGTGGGTGTAAGTGCAGGCCAAAAGGTACAGACTGTGAGAAACGTGAGATCTGAACCTGATCCAGGCTCGGAAGAATATTTGAGAAATGATATCCGAAATCGGCCGACGCTGACGTGAAAAGTCAGGTCCCGTCGGGTTCAGACAGATATTTCAGGCACTAGACTGTGTATCTTATTTCCACGTCTCTGCACTGAGAGGCACTCGCTCTGACATTTTTCCTCATATTTCAAATATTTGTGCATTGAAAAGTACAGCAGCACCACCGTTCACACAGTGATCCATTAGAAATGACTGCTCTCAGAAACACAGCACATTTCTGATATGTTCTACTCCATTCACCACTCCTCTGTTCTGTTCTGGATTCTGTTCTATTCTATTCTATTCCATTACTCTCTGTTCTATTCTGATCTGCTCTCGATTCTATTCTATTCTATCATTCTCTGTTCTATTTTGTTCTATTCTGTATTCTATTCTATTCTCTGTTTTATTCTGTTCTATTCTCTATTCTATTATTCTCTGTTTTATTCTGTTCTATTCTGTATTCTATTCTATTCTCTGTTCTATTTTATTCTATTCTGTATTCTATTCTATTATTCTCTGCTTTATTCTGTTCTATTCTGTATTCTGTTCTATTATTTTCTGTTCTATTTTATTCTGTTCTGTATTCTATTCTCTATTTTATTCTGTTCTATTCTCTATTATATTCTTTTCTATTATTCTCTGTTCTGTTCTGTTTTACTCTGGATTTGATTCTATTCTATTCTGTTCTATTCCTCTCTGTTCTTTTCTATTCTGTTCTGTATTCTGTATTCTATTCTATTCTGTTATTCTCTGTTCTGTTCTGTTCTACTCTGGATTCAATTCTGTTCTATTCTGTTCTATTTGATTCTATTCTTCTCTGTCCTTTTCTATTCTGTTCTACTCTGGATTC